CGGGAAGTAAGACCTGCTTTATTTGGAACAGACGAAATAATTTGTCCTGTGCGTACGAGTCTGCACCTACACCTATAATATGCAACCTACAGAGGATGCTTGTCAGATCAAAATTTTCATCTTCATGGATAGGTTTGAAAGCAAGTTATGGACACGGAGGAATCTTGGCCCATGCTGGATTCGTTGTGTAGAGCCAGTCATGTAGCGGCGCCACCTTCGCTGCTCTTGCTCATGAGGACCAGCACAAAAAGTGGTTAATCAATGTCGGATGCTTTACCCCTTTTCGAATTGTAGAACCGCGTATTCCTCACATTCATGATAGAAGCCCTTAGCGAACGCCTTTTCAGAAGGTCGTGGAACGTCGTGTTATGGAAGGCGGTAGACCAGTAAATCTCAAGATCTCGATACTCTTGAGCATTTTGTATTATTTTAAATTTCAGTCAAACTCTACTGGTCGCTTGTTAATTTGTTGCAATTTGTTTATTATCCTTGAGCCCTTTGAATATCGGTAAATAGATCTCACTAGACGTGTTCCACTGCGTCCAGTAGTAAACTGAGTATGAAAAATGCTAGGTTTCCAATTATTTATAGGTCTTGTCTATGATCTCGGTCAGTTGTTGATTTAGGAATGTTTTCTGTTATCATTTTGTTATGCGTGTATAAAACTTTGGGAAGAGCAAATGGTGCAGTCATTGCTGATGGTATCATCATTGAATATCTCATATCTACTATTGCTTGATTTGGCTTTAAGCTGAAGGTCCCTTCAAACGCGTTGTTTTCAACCTAAGTACTTGTTTGTGCTTTTTTTTTTACAAAATCACCTCGGTGTGTTTCCAATCCTAATTGCAGGCAAAATGGGCGATCATGTTGCTAAATCGGAAGATCCACTCCGTGAGCAGAAGGGCGTTGAATTGCGTGTGGTCAAGCAAGAGGTAGATGAAGAAGCTGGTTGGTTATTTCTGATTTCTTTGGAATCTGCATGATATTTGCAGTCATTTTTCTCAAAGGCTAAGTTCGGGTTTTTTGTTTGAAATTTAGCTTTTCCCCGTCAAATATGCAGTGAGTACGCAAGCGCGGAGCATGTGCAGAAGTGGCGGGGTGATTTGACAAGGTTTAGGCGCTAAGAGCCAAGGTTGGAGCATTGGCGCCGCCCCAACCCCATTGAGCCCGTCCCACACTTCAACATGACCTTTCACAACTATGTGGGAAGCTTAACGTTGAACTGCTGTTCGGAAGGTCGCAGGACAATATTTCGCAAACTTCATCACAAACATTCATGCGAAAATCAACACGAAAGAATATGCTACGATCACTGTCAGGAAAAGATGTTATTTCAGTTTAGATGAGGCATCGAAAGATCAAGATGAAAGCAGCAGAGAAAATCAGACAAACCGGGGGATAATAGAAAACTGGCGGTTGTATTCAGCTAAGGAGAGATGAGGGGGGATTTTCTATTTTTAGCTTCTTAGGTGTTTTTCCTGCTTTTTTCTTCACTGTCGATTCCTTCAGCACACAAAGTATAATATTTGGAAAGGCAGCTCCTCATTTCATCCCGAAGCTTGTCTATAAAGGCACATTTCGCACTAGCGTATCCTACCAGCCCATGCTTTGCTTGAAAACGCATTGCACCTTTGCTTGAAAACGCATTCCACGCATTCTGCATGGTTTTATGGTAGGACCGCTTGAAGTGAATACTTCTTCAAATGATTCTGAGGCGAAGCAACAGAAAAGGATTGATTTTCCGGCGAAGAAAGGCATCTTATAGTCTTCGGCTCGTATTGTTTATGTTGGACTGGTTGAAGATCTTCATCTGCCTTGCATTTGAATCGTTATCCGGCTCGCTTCAAAGATCACATTCCCGGAAAGACGAGTTCCTCAATATGGCAACATATGGGGATTGTTATGATCACACAATGACCCATACAAATCCTTCAGAAACTTTTCCTACCAATAGTGTATATTTTCACAATTGAGAGGTCTTCTATATCACTAAATCTTGCAGAGACCTGTGCCACTGCATCAACTTCTGAAATTCCACCTGCAAACGAAGTGGTGGCTGGCTACGAAGAAACGGAAAGGGGGGGGGTGGGGGGGGGTAATTGTATTTTTTGCTCTGTTTGAGTAACGTTTTCTGTCACATAATATGTTGTAGGAAGAGGTGATTTTGGTTCATTTTGCAGGTTGAGCCGTCCAATCGAGTTAGCCAACGCGCAGCTGCTGAAACTGCAAGCAATTTACGCGCCGGTCAGGCAACTCGCGAAATCTTCGAGCTTAGTCCGCTTGAAAGGGTATGCACTTCTTTCTTTAATTACTCAATTTCACAGGGCCGACCTCGCGGATTTGCTTGAGCACAGGTTGGTGTTGATTAAGGGGTGCACAGGATCGCTGAAGATCTAGGTTTGTAACAGCTCATGCAATGTCACATTGCGTGAGGACTCGAGAATTCCGAGTCCGAGAGTCATCTTGCCACGGAAAGCTCCGCCCTCATTACCACAGAAAACGATACCTTAAAGGAATCTTCCACGGAAAGAGTGATCATTTTGTCTTGTGTGTAGGATTAGTATTATCGAAACTAACGCTTATGTTCCGTTCTTTTTGCTATGCTCATGAGGCTAGGGGCCTAAGGTATCGTTTTTCTGTGGTAATGGAGGCGGAGCTTTTTCCGTGGAAGATTCCTTCAAAAGTGGTGTTTACATAAAAAGAGGCCCTTCAAACAATAATATTGTATTCAGTGATGCAGGATGAAGAAAAACCTGGAGTAGCGGTATAGAACGACGAAAATTGGACGCTACCGTATTTCGACTGATACAGCTTCTCGTCGGCGCGTCTCTTCAACCTAACGCTCTCCGCTAACGGTAGTCATAGCTGAGGTGCAGCGGCGCGAGTGCGCGGTCCCGTTTAGGCCCTAGGGTCATCGTTCGTAAAGCTCTATTTCGCCACTCGTCGGAGAGCCGTCCGCTTTGCGCGGCTGGTATATTCCTCTTTCTCGCCTCGCTACCTTGACGTTGAGCTCCTGTTTTAAAGCAAGGCCTGCCGAAACGTGCAATAGAACTTCATGTGATGGATAGTCGAGTGATCTGAAGTGGAAAGGACACAAGGTTGAAGTCAAGGGCTCACTTGTAGTTAGTACGGCTCACGCCATATTCAGGACTCCATAGGATACGTGGTTTGTATTTTCAGAGAATTCGTCAGAATCGTGGTTACAATGAGAACGACTGGACGAGTGAAGAGCTGAAAGCGCTCTATGAAGGATAAAGTGTGTTTCCGCACGGTGTAAGTCGCAAACATATTTCAGAAAATTGGTTTTGACAAAAATTTCGCACGCGATTGCGGGTTAGCCACATTTAAAGGCAGCGATTGGGATAAGTCTGGAGGATTTGGAAGGGGTTTGGTCAGTAGTAGAAGTGGCGCAAACATGCAGCGAAGATTCGTCCAGGAGTAAACGGGGCTCACCCTGTTAGCGCGTCGTCACGTGTAATTGGCAGCGACTGAGGGAGAACGGGTCAGTAGAAAATGGTACGATTCACACCTAATTAAGAATACTCCGCGGATAACTGCGAAGTGACCTCATTAAGTGAGAGGGCCTAGGGGTCACAATACCATCCAAACATGTGTTCTAGACGTATAATGTATGCTATACGAAGTTAATAGAAATAGCAGTCAATTGGAAACCACACAACAAATTACAACATGAATAAAGAGGAAGTACTGTCAATCTAAAATACAAAAAAAAACAATCGAAATGACCCGTTATCACCAATCAACTATCACTAAATAGTTACAACCGAAAGATTGAACAAGGTATAAGAAACTGCAAAACTACACATTAGCTATGCCCTTCATGTGCCCCTTCTATGACTTTTCGGGACCCCCTGTACCACTTCGCAAGACCCCTGGTAAAAAGAAGCACCATGGGCCGTATGCACAAGCCCCACAGGTCTTAGGAGATATATCCCCTGAGTCGTATGCAACAAGCCTCGCAGCACTGAGGGGATATATCCCCTCGGGGCTTGTTGCATACGACTTTGGGGAGACAACGGAGGGGATGAATCCCCTGCTCTCGACTAGGGGACTCATCCCCGACGGCTTTGGTCAGTTCGACTTCCGTCGCGGTCGAGTTGACTCGGGATTTCGGTGATGAAATTCCCATAGGGAGCAAATCCTGCCAGTTAAGATTGCCCTCTTCTTCTTTGTGACGCTCAATGTAGGATAATTTCTACTGAGCGATTATTATTTCGGGGCACTTTGATTTTGCGATATTCGCGCTTCGAAAAAAGAAAACGGCTTCTGTAGAAGAAAACCTTCCGTGCATTCGCTCATAATCAGCACATCATCGCATTTCGCGGTATAGATGCGTATCTCCTTCGGGAGAGCTCCTAATTCGAGAATCGAAATCGGCGGAATCTTTCCGAAGAAGCCAACACTTAATTTGTGGTTCTTTTCACCTTTGGAATTCCTCCGGATAAATGGTATAGGTTATTGATGCATTGTGGAATAACAATGAGCTTCTTGTAAATCAATTTTAGTATGTACTGATGCGCAGAAGTTACATTTTTCGCAGGAGAAAAAGCGCACGAACTTATTTGAAAGCCTCTTATAGCCCAGCCCTTTTGCAAATTCCTTATTGCTTTTGAGAATTATGCGGACAAGTTCTTATATTATTGTCGGATTCTCTTTTGTGATTCTAGCGTTGCTGTTATTGAGATCCGTTTAGAAATTTTCGACATCCTTTCGATATGTCTTTAGCGCGTGCCCCCATGGGGGATCACGGAGCTTCCGGTGCGGGTGGAACTACTTTTGGACTGGATGCGAGCACAGGATTTGCTCCGTATGGGGATTCATTACCGAAATCCCGAGGTCCGACCCCGAGGGAATATATCCCCTCGGACCTGTGGGGCTTGTGCATACGACTGAGGGGATGTGTCCCCTCGCGGGCGTCGGGTCTTGGTTTTTCAACTATTATTATGAACGATTTGTTTCCTCAATTAATTGCGTTTTACCTGATTAACAGAGAGGTGTGGGTGGTGTTGTGACCCTTATGTCATCAGCCTTAATGAGGTCACTTCGCACATAGGGTGCGAAAATTTGGCTCGTACCATTGTTTACCCACCCAGGGTGAACGTATGGAGTTAACCGTTGACTCGTTTGGTAGCATCGTGCTGGACCTGCTCCAAAGAGTTGCTCCAGTTGCTCCGCTGCTGGCAACTTAGCTCATTCAAATCACAAACTAAGCTGATGGGTAGACCACTTTTCGGGCGGAGCGCTTTTCGAATACTGCTCAGCAACCAACGCACCTTTCAGGAAGCGCTACACCTCGCTCTTGGTAGCCAAGCTACTGCTTCATGTGGCGCATATGCTTTCACGATGTGCTCCCTTTTTATCGTAATCGCTTCCTTTGAGAAATCAAACAAATAGGTCAAAAAAATGCAGGGTCCCCGCTGCCAACATTTGTGGCAGTCACAGGTCGGGAATATTTGAATGTGTTAAAATTTTCCCAGTTCTTCGAATTGTTTTCCAATTGATTTCATTGCGAATAAAAAGGTAAAGGATAAATTATTCGCCGTTGATTCCCTTTTGGGATAATTCCATTTGTAATTGAAGTGGGCACTATGAATGTGCGATGTGCCTATCAAGGAATTTGCGAGCAGCGATGCACAAGTCATGTTTTTATCCTCCCAGACACTCTGTACTCCTCACACCGCCGGAGGATGGAAGCTTGTTGAGCTGGAGTGAAGCATTGCGATCATGATTTGGATCCTCCGAGCGCGTGCCACTTGCCCTAACCACGCTCTGAGCCATTATGGGAATAGCGCGTCCGTCCCAATCAACAATGCATGGAGGGACGGAATCATGCATGTGCTTGCCGATTCCTTAAAGGAATCTTGCGCGGAAAATTCTTGCACTCTTTCCTAACATGAATATGTCAGTTGTGATCACTGGAAATAGCACACAAAGTTTCACGCATGAAGATTCGGTTTCTGAAGAGAAACAAACGTACAAAAACTACACGTTATGGACCATCGAAGGACCAGGAGGCAGAGCCAGGCGAGGCATGGAAAGAAGACGGCGTTTGGCCGGCTACGTACCAGGCGACGCAATGAGAGAATCGGGTTAAAGCGCGCGATTTCGGAGAGTGGAGACAAATCGATCGATGGAATAGGATGGAGTAGAAGTGTAAGATGTGAATGCAACGAAGCAGAAGGCCAGAAAGAGCTTCTAGTGAATGCACTCCAAGAACCAAGTTTGAGCATCCCCGTCGCCAGCATTCGTGAAAGACGTCCGTGGGCAATTCGAACGCGTAGCAGCCTTTTCGAGTTTTCGAATTTCTAATCAAAACGAAAGCAATACTTCAGTTCTTTTCACTATTATCGTGGATAATGAGTCTCAAGCCAGTGATTTATGGCTGAAATAGAATCATGATTTTTCCGCGCAAGATTCCTTTAAGGCAAATCAAAAGCTGTGCAGACGGGAGAAGTTTGTACGCCACAGGGAGCAGTAGCTAGGCGACAAAAGGTAGCGCGACAAATGGTGAGCTGTTGGCAGAGTAAAAGGGTACCCCCCAGGAGGCCCATCGCGCGGCAAGAAGGCCGAGTCGGCGGACGAGTCGCGGCGCGTGATGTGCGATGAAGGACGTGCAATGGGACATTCTATTTAACTTGACGCGATTTCCCTAATACGCGCGCGACTCGTCCGCTGACTCGGCCTTCTTGCCGCGCGACGGGCCTCTTGGGGAGGGGGGGGGGACCCGAGTAAACCTCTGAATCTCATTGTTAGAACAGTAAGGCCGCGTTCATAGTTCGCGACTCTGGAGATTAGGATAGTACGCGACAATGAAAAACATATGTACTATTGACGGGGAGATTAGGATAGTGCGCTGACAAGATTAGATATGTATTGATCTATTCGCTTAGAAGTCGCCAATCTACTACTCTCCAGCGATTTCAATCGATACGTATCCAATCTTGTCAGCGCAATCTCCTACTCTACTATCCTTATCTCCCGAGTCGCGAATTATGAACACGGCCTAAGGTAAACTCGCTGCGCGCCACTATGTATTTCCAGGCGCAGTCAATTCGTTCTCCATTTTAATAAAGTCTTATTTCAAGCGGCCGTATTTTTTACTTTGTACTTGTAATGCGCTATCAATCAAAGCATGATGTTTGTTGTCATGATATCGGGTATCGGCGTTAACACTCAACTGAGATGCGTCTGTCGCCTGACTTCCTCCATGATGTTTGTTGTCATGATCTCGGGTATCGGCGTTAACACTCCCAAACGAGATGTGTCTTGGTCGCTGGCTTATCCAAAACGAATTCCAACGGATATATGAGGGTGCTATTCTGCGGGTCCCTGATGGATTTTTGTGCTTTTTGCCGTTTGCACGCGATTTATCACCTTCTTTCTCTGGAAACCCACCCGGGTGCCGTACGCTGCCCCCAACGAATCCGCTAGGTGACGCCTGTCTGAAGTAAACATCTGACGAGATTCGCGGGCTACCAGACAGGAGGCCCGTCACATACTGTAGTGATTTCGCGTCAAGTTAAATAGAATGTATCCATTGTACGTCCTACATCGCACATCACGCGCTGCGACTCGTCCGCTGACTCTGCCTTCTTGCCGCGCGACGGGCCTCCTGTCGGGTACCCGAGATTCGCGCATCTACAGTTGTCCTACCTTTTAAAATAATATCGGAAAAATATTTTAGATATGGTACTACTGAAGATGCTTTAGAAGTGATTCAAAAGAATTATTGCTCAACACGACCTTTCCATCAGGTTCTGTGAGTACTTTTTTCATTATTTGTGGTGAATTGTAAGCTAAAATTCAAATTATCGCCCACTAAAAATAGTAACAAATTCAGTGCAAAAGTGAATGAGATACGGGAGATCAATGCTGAACACAGAGAGGATCGTATGAGAGCAGAAGGTGATTACTGGTTAGAAACGGGTTATCGAGAAGTACGTTGTGCACCTCAGTATATTGTACAACCGGTGAGTCGTTTTTAGAGCTCCCTACAACCGTGTACCACTTTATAATCGGCTTATACGAATACTACGAATGTTATAGAGTTGCGGTAGGCGTGACGGAAGTGAGTGGCTGCCGCACTTGATAGATGTCGCGCGGATAAGCTGTTGCCACCGCGACACGCCTACCCCAACTCTCGGATATGGGTTGTAGTTGTGTCCGTATCTTTTTCCTATTTCCTCTGAGAATACCTCTTAATGTCAGTGCGACGGCAAGAAGCGACTGTTTTC